TATTATCACTTGCTAATGAAAGTAGCTTTTAACAAACACTTCATGGCAAAGCTGCTAGTTTAAGCTTTGCAGGGTCTGGTAGCATCCTCACCATTTCAGTCTCTGACTCCACTTCTCAGTTAAGTATTTCCAATAAAGTATCCTTCAACATTTCTTCCTAAAGACATTATTTACTGAAGAAGTGCCAACATAAGAGGTATTCCGGCATTTTTTTCGATAAAACAATCCCCTAAATCAGTTTCTCGAAGCAATTGACACTTTTCACTCGTGCTAAAATGCCAGCAGGAGAAATTTGGGAGTCAAATGGCCTTTTGTTTTGACAGCTTGCTTTGGAGGGAGGGGTATTGATTTCTTCAAAGAAAATATTGCCCCAGGAGTCTAAATTGGATGGGTTGTTAGACCTGCATTTCACAGTTCCTTCCCTAGCCCATCCCTAACATGCTTAAAATTCTCCACGGCAATTGTTTGTGTTAACAAAATATTCTGAAGAGCTCCTTTCTCAGAGCAGTTTGAGACAATATGAAGGGACCTGGGCATGCAGAAACTAGAGCATTTGTAGGAACCCGTATCTCCATAAACTTAAGAGATACAGTGTGCTTCACAGCTCATGTCCTCCTGGGGTCTCAAGAACTGATGGACTCAAGTCCATCTGACACAGTATCTTTTTGAGATAGCACTAGGCCAGCCTTCTCCTAGTGTTTGTTCCTTGTTATTGAATCACTTCTTCCCCCTCCTCCGAAGCATTGTGGCATTCCTGAAGACGGATTTACCAGCTGCCCTGGATTCAAATTTCATTCCCACTTTTCAATTTCTAATATAAAAGCCTTTAGAATTTTTTTTTAAAGAAAGCTTTTGTGATATTCTTAGACTCAGCATAAACTATACCAACAAAAACAGTTGGCAAAAGATTTTCTCACAGGTAATTAAAAGGCTGTGTACCCTTCCTCATTCCTGTTCGTAGTCACTCTCCCACCATTTCTTACAGTTGCTTATCTGCTCCACATTGGGCAAGTTCAGGAGGCTCAACAGAAAGACTTCTTTGTAGAGTGTTTTTATTTTAGTTTGGGACAAGCAATTAACTATCCTTCTGAAAAATGTTACAGTACACAAAAGGATTTGTACCACAAGTAGGAATTTTACAAGTTCCCCACATAACCTCCAAAGAAAATATAAATATATAAATACAATCTCTCTCTGTGTCCTAGGATTTTGAACAAGTATAGAAGTATGCAGTGGATATCCCACAAGTAAAAGCATACCTTTTTTTTTTTTCTTTTTTTTTTTTTCTTTTGTAATAGACATAGCCTCAGAAATATCCTCAGGAAAAAAAAAAATCTATACAGTATTCAAACTGTTTCTTCTCTTGCCCATTTTTAGTTTCTGAGCTGACTATTCCTTTCCTTCTACTTGTTTGCAAAGTTATTTTCTGATCTCCCCCCTCTTCTGTAGTAGACTTCCTTGACAGTGTTTGTATCTTCTACGTGTCTGTTTATTAAAAGGTTCTTTTCAAGATGTGATCTATTAAAGACGTATAGAGAGGGAGAAGAGCACATGACAAAGTGAATTTAGAAAGCATGTGCAAGGCTGGTCAGTGTGCACGTGTATTTAATCTTAAAGCAGAACTATCCTGTGCAAGTATGTTGATTGAATATGTTACATCCTTAATCAACATACCTACAGCAGCAAAAGCTGTAGTCTACAACTATATATAGATACATGTATATATTTGGCTTTGGAATTTTTATTCATTGGTATTGCTTGTTTCATCTGGAGAGCTGAGGTACCAGGAAGTGGACACCTGGAGTCCACCAGGAGAGTTCTCATCTGTACCTCAGGTAACCACTTGTGGTGGTTTGACCCAGTACACTTCTTCATGTAGATAAGATGTTTTTCTGGCTTAGCTTTACACATGTAAGTAGTTTATTGGCCTTATCCCATAAGGATATTCATTTGTAGTGATAAGAGAGCCTATCAAAAGAGGAAATAAAGATCATTAGCCAAAGTGGAACACTGTGTACCTTAGAGTGAAGAGTTGGAACATTTCAAATGAAGAGGGTAAAATCAAATCAATTACAGCATGTAAAACAGTGCACTGAGATGTATCAGAAAGTTCATAGTAGACACAGACAAATGAACTTATTTCCTGTAGTGCATGGAAGCCAACTGAAGATTCTTCTTCCATTCTTTCGTTTGTAGCAATACTTAAGACTTGCCCAAGAAATATCTGTATTCTTCACATGAAAAAAAAAAAGAAAAAAAAAAGCCCAAAACGCTAGGCACTTTTTCATGCATTTGGGATGCTTACAAGATTTCACATACCATAGTTTATGTTGCAGAATACTTTGTCAGCACCAATTCCCATTCTGAATGTACACAACATGAACATCAAGTCCCAGAAAATCCGCAAGATTCTCCTATTAAATACATGTTACCTCAAGCTATATATGATGAACTGAAACTTTTTGGGGGGGGAAAAAACCCACAACCTCCCCCCCCAAAAAAACACAACCACAAAACCCTGACTATTCTAATGCAAGAGAAAGCAAAGTATTCTCATATACTTTTCATCCCCAGCTACCAACATTGCAATTCTCAGAACACCCTTTCCTGACCCTATTGCCTATCATCCACCAGTAAAACAGCTCTCCCAACCTCTTTAACCATGCAGAAGTGAGCTTGCATGTATAACAGTTCCTTCCCTGCTGAAAAACCCACAGCAAAAACAGAATTTTGACCCCACTACCTTTGACCTCCTTCGGCAGTAAAACAAGAGACACAAGAGCAGATGTTCTATATTTTCTTCCTCAGTTCTTTTCTGTCTGCTTTTTGAACATATACAACTTCTTTGATCCAGTAAAGCATTTTTGCCATTCAAAATCTTCTAATAGATTTCTGGTCTACCTTTCAGAACCCTTGACACACCAGGGCAGATAGAAGGCTGACAAGTGGGGTTTTTTCAGTTCCCCTCCTCACTGACTTATATGGACACCTTCATGCTTTCTTCGCTATTGAACAGTGAGTGCACATTTCCGCTTTTCAGTATTTGACTTGAGACTGGTGGGGAAAGCAGGAGCATTCATAGGCTCTCAGTGGAACACAACAGTTGTCCATTGCTTCTTCAGAGACAATGTCTAGAGTAGTATAGGATTGCAATTACAAATGTGAAAAAAATAACAAAGTTTGAGAGCTTTGGGGAAGAAAAATGATGGCATCTATGATAAATACTATCTACTAGTAAGTGACATGCTCTGTGCAGCTGTGAAAGAAGTGAAAATAATTTTAAAACAGAAGGAGCAACATTCAGCTGCTGAACTGCAAGGACAATTACTGCTTTATCAAGAGTTTATTATATTCAGGACTTTATGGTAAAATGGCTCATCTTAATCCAAACTAATCTTAATCCAGGCCGTTGCAATTTAAATATAGGACAATCTAACTGTCCTGTTAGCTTCATTGCATTTCTGACACAGCACTGATATGGTTGTGCAGCACTAATATTACTCTGTACAACTGTGGCACATGTACAAAGCAGAAAAGCCTTAATAACATGGAGAACAAATATGTATTTAGAAGATCATCTCAAAAAGAAGGTTCAAATAAGCAACCTGTGTTTAGTTAGGACTATTTTATAGGGACTCAACACTGTCACTGTTTTTCCCTGTATCTGGTTTCCCCAGGTTTCTACTTGATATAACCTACCAGTAAAAGTAAATTAAAACAAAATGATATTTTTATGTAATCTAGGTAATGCAGCAACCATGTGAACACAAACTATTTGCAAGGAGTAGTCCAACAGTGATTCAGATATTTAGTCATGTATCTACGGTTAAGCAAGTGAAACCATAGATACAGGTATCACTGAAGAATACTTTACAGTATCACCTCTACATAATTTACTTCTCGTTTGCAAAATGTTTTATTTGGATTTTGAGACAGCTTTTTCCACCCAAGTCTTACTGTGTTTAGTTTATGTGCTAGACAGAATATACCTAAACACATATTTTTACACCTTCGACTCTCTGTGGATTCTGGTATCCCAAATTAGTATTAACAGTACAAGTACAGAAAAGTACTAGTAGGATTTTTAGCTGCTCATACCTTCAGAGTTGAGACTGATTTTAGAGACAATTAATTGAAGACAGAAAATGACATTTTCAATGTCAGACAAACTGGAGGTCTGTTTTTAGACCTAAAGTTAAAAGGACTGAAAAGAACAGCATCAAGCAAATAAAATATATTCCAGTTAAACAGTGACTCTTCTAGTTCAGTGGTATTATTAATATAAGATTGCTTTTGGAAAAGTCACAAAGTTCAGAACACAAGACTTAGAGCATTCTTATAAATTTACTTAAACTACACTGAAGTTAGACTAAGTCCTTGCTTTTCACTGATTCCAGTTCCTTGAAGAAAATTCTTGTATTTTTGTCAAAATCTTGTAAAGCTTGTATTTTTTCCAGCTGCATCAGCTGATCTGATAACACATGCTACCTTCCTCTATAAAACTGTGCTGTTTCACGAATTCAGCAATGCGCTGCAGAGCAGAGAATGCTAAATTCATATGTGTCATTTACAGCGTCTATTTTTGATGGTGCCAGCTTCTATTGCTACCAATCACAATCAGGAGAATAGCGTATCGTAAACTGAAATAGGTATTGTATAAGAAATAAGGCCCGATTTCTGTTTCACTTGTGTAAAGTTTCTCCCGGGAGCAAGAGTAAAGCAAGGTTTCAAGGAGTTGCAAGGGTCTGAGAGAAGTCAGCTGCAGAAGCCGCAGTCCTAGGCGCTGAAAATGAACTAGGTAACCCCCCGGGGCAGGTGAAAATCACACTGCTAAGCACCGTGTAGGGTAGTATTATGAAATCAGGACAGAGTACAGTAAACCCCCTGAAAACGGGTCAGTGGACTTATGATAAGCTTTCTTCATTTACGTTGGGTGGGAGAAGGGGAAGGGGGAAGGGAAAGGGGAGAGGGCAGGTATTAATATGTAACTCCAAACTCACCGATTTTGGCCAAGCTGGCCACAAGTATCCAGAGTGTAATGATATAAGGGTCCTTGACGTGATCCCACTTGAAAGAGACGATGGCAAAGCTTTGAGGCTGGCTGCTATTTATAGAGCTTCCCGAGCTCCTCTGTCCCAGCGCCGCTGGGAGAGCCATCAGCCCCAGGAGGGACCCCGCTCCGGGCACCTGCCTCATCTCCCAGCCACACCGCGAAATCCTGCTTCCCCTTCCCGCAGAGATCCCGCCTCTCCCGAGGTCCCTGGGGGCGAGCTCCTTGTCCCTTCGCGGGGACGCGGCCGGGGAGTGCGGGCGGCGGTCCGGTCCCGTCCCG